TTTTTTTTTTTTTTTTTTTTTTTTTTTTTTTTTTTTTTTTTTTTTTTTTTTTTTTTCATTCGTGGGGATAATTGCGTTATTTGGAATCGATCCGTCCTCGAGTGTATGCGCTCAACGATATCAACACGAAACGACGAAACGATTAAGGATTGACTTGTTGGAAAAATTCATTATTTTTTCCTCGACTCATTTGTGGAACATATACCATTTTTTCGAACTAAAAATCATGTAAAATTTTGTACTAGCAAGTGTTTAATTATTGTCAAACTTGTTTTTTCACAGAAATACATTAATGATTAGAGTGAATCTTCGGGTATGTTTTTTTCTTTTGTATTTTCTTACTACAAAAATACCCTAGTTTATTAAGAACATTTTATTGCATATGCTCCATAACACCTGTTTCTTTATGCTCACTGTGTTAAAATGTTGACATTGGAAGGCATAACTTTTTTTTCACTTGCAAATACTACGAACAGTAACTTTATCACAATTTAAAACGTTTGGGAAAAGGAATTTGTTAAACAAGAAGGTTTCAAACGAAATTGGATTTTTTTTTCCACTGGAACGGTCCTACGTCAACCTTTTTTCATCACAGAATTTCTGTATATTATGTAACTTTAAAAAAAAAATAACTTGAGAATTTCAAGGTGATTATTGTTCTCGCAATTAAATAGTGTCTCTAAAAACGCAGATAAAGAAGTTGCACGATAAAAGTGGCACGTGCAGTAAACGGCGTGTGTTTCTTTACACTTGATAATTGCCATCTTTTAGATCTTTCTTTCTTTTTTTTTCTAGGCTTGCTTATTGCACACGTGAATTATAACGGCTTTTTATCAAAAAATTTGTGTACACATTGTTTCTTGCCTAATTTTGTACTTGAAGGGACTCGTAGAAACAAATTATAATATTCTCGTGTCAAACGAGAAAATTAGACTTTTTTTTTTATCTTAGGACGTCGGCGCCTAACGTTGTTGTTGCCAAGGAAACAAAATAATTTATTTTACACTATCTCCAATGGTTAAAAAAAAAAAGTTGGTCTCATTATGAAAATTGTAATCTACTTATGCGTAATTTCTTTGAATCACAGACAAGTTAAATAAGTTATTAGTTACAGCATATTTATTTTCAAGTATTAGAAATATTACTTACAGTACTTTTTTGGGTAATGAAGTCAATTTTTTTTTTTTTTATTATTATTATTATATTTTCTCAGTACCATATTTTTAAGGCTATCAATTCTCACCTTATTTACCTGACTTTCATAGATACTTTGCAGAAGATGATATGCAGAGATATTTAATAACCCAGTAAACCGACGTTTGTGAAAAAACGTCCCAAAAGACGTAATAAGACAATTTATCACTGAGAGAAAAGAAATAATAAAAATTATTGAGCAATTCCAGCAAAAATTACCACTCTCCATAGTAAATCGAATGCAAGCTGGCAGAAAAAATGAAAAAATTATTCTTTTTAACAGTAAAGATGATTGTTTTAACAGTTAAAATTATGGTTCGAAAAGTAAAAAAAAAAAAATTTCGATGCAGGAAAGTAAAATTTATTGACCGATCCTTTTAAGGTTTACTTAAGGTTTTATCAGCTTGCATCCGATTTACTGTGCGTAACGAGTAACTATTGCTGGAATTTCTCTATAATGTTCATTATTTCTTTTCTCTCGGTGTGGAAAAACAACTATTTTTTTTTTTTTTTTTTTTCTTCCCAACAGAATCAATGAATCAATTCAACTTAATTGCAACGGGGCGTGTTTATTATGTTCACCACACGGTATGTACACTAGACGCGTTTGTTACCCGCGCGAGTCTCGACAATAGACGTGTAAAGTGCAAGAATCTTGTTCATCTCGGTGGATATGCAGTTGGAGCAGTAGCCCGTGGTGGACGTGGACCGGCTGTCGAGTCGCTGCCGTTCATCATCTCCGAGCTGCGAATGATTACGGAACATTGCGACAATTGTTTCGATTGGGGGTTGGACGGGAAATTTTTTTTTTTTTTTTTTTTTGTATTGTTAAATTTTCGGCGGGTGCAACGTTAATCATCACCCAAACATATGAGAAAATGAGCAAACTTCAATGATCATGTGTTCCACAATATGTAGTTTTTTTTTTTTTTTTTTTTTTTTGTTAAAATCGTATATGTGTACAATTGCTTGTAATCCACAAGTGCTCTTTGAGAATAATTTATTGAGCTTCTAGGTTTCAATGTTTTTTCAAACAAGAACAATAAAAAATATTCATTTGAGCAAAGACTTTTACTCA